AACAACGATAAGCTAATTGAAGTTAGCAACAGTGATGTCAGAGTCCTGGAAAACAGGTTGCACCATTTCAGTATCGAAAATGCGCATAATGTAGATTTGTAAGACAATATGTAATACAGTAGTTCCATATGTTTTTGTGAAATCTTAATTTAGAATGTTCAAATACAAGAAGTGGGACGGCCTACCTTCTAGATTTACGATTTTCTCGTTTGTTATTATCGAAAACGTTTCTTTCACTATTAGTCAGTTTAATGCTTCTTATCGCTGGATATAATATTGGTTTCTTGCCGCATTATGTTTGTTTATATTTTTTTTTATCAGCAAATAATAAAAGAAGACGTTTATATGATGAAAGAGAATTCTTAAAATGTATGTATTGTGGCGTACACTGTCTTACTTATTTCAATAAATATTGTCATTCTTAATTATAAAATCTGTTCAGTAATCCTATTATCTTGTTTACAAAAATAAGTTTAGTATGATTAGAATTGAGGGGGACATTCACATACATTTCAAATTTGCAAAAAGGAATAATTACTTATCATTTTTCATTGAGTCTTTAACAAATCATTGAAAACAGGCCAAATAAGTTTAATATAATATATTATTTAATAAAAAAAAAATGAAACGGGGACTTGGAAATCGTCTAAAGTCTAATGTGATGTTGACGAAACACGCGTCTTGCGCATTTTAAAAATCATAAACCATCTTTGATGGGTTTTTTTTTAACTCTGAATTTACACTTATAATGTATCACTCTCAGACTGAAATTCCACCAGTAGAGGCATCGACCATGTGCTAAATAAATACACGAATCATACTGAATCCAATGCCGCGAAACAACACTTACCAAATCATGCAGAGCGAAGTTAAGAGAATAAAGTGAATTTATATATTCCAATTGTATACATTTCGCCTTTGACAATTAATTACGCAATGAACTATTTAAATGCAATGGCAAGGGGAAGGATTGATTGATTACTTCTTGCAACGTCCAGCAGCAAGTATTACATATACATTTGGACGAAAACACGTTAAATTAAAATCTAATATGTTGATTTTGCAATGTCGCTCTACCATAAGGAATATATTATAATGTAAAATTTAAGATGATATTGTAAAATGAGGGTCTGTTGGATAGGGCAAAAAAACTGTCCTTGCAATAGGCCTCTTACAGATTCTCCAAGAGTTGTCACAAGAGTTTAACGTGAAGAATGTGCTGCACATTCGCTACACGAGGCATCAGATTTAACGTTCCAATTCTGAACTGACGTTTTATACATGCTGCACAATCAAAAGGCCGCTCCTATTTTGCATTGCTATAACTGTCGGATGGAACAAGGTCATGTGATTTTTACACCCCAGTAAACAGTTTTGGTATAAGGAAAATTAGTAGACATGTTTTGAGATTGCCGCAAAATTGTTTCATCAAGGTCCGGTAAAGGCTTATTTTGCCCTAAAATTTGAAGTACATCTGATGAAAGATTTTTGACATTTTTTAAACACTTAAGTGTCTTCTTCAGTAGATTCAATTAGTTTATGTATAAGATTTGAACTGATATGGTCATGAAAGACGCCTAAATTCAAGCTTAAATATGAAAAATCTATCAAATATGCTACAAAACGTCACTTTTCAGATGGTTTTTGTCTAAAAAGGAAGTGGCCGCATTCGTGTTCAGTCTTAACCTTTATAAATGTTATGTATTATCATCAAATACAGCATATGTTTAAATATTAAGGCTGAACACAAGTGCGGCCATCTCCATTTTAGACAAAAACCGTGAAGATTTCCGTAATTTTGCATGAATTAATGATGCTATTACGTGATGTATGTACATTGCATTGTCAAAACCAGCTCATAGTTATGTAACAAAAGTACACTACTTCCCAATAAATAGCTAAACGTTTACATTTTTAACAAATTTTTGAAATGCTATATTTTGAGGCCAAAAAGGGGTCTTACCGGGCCTACTCAGATCACATGTAAACAACGAACAAAATAAAACAAATAAACAGTTATTGAATATTTAAATTACTGATATTATATTTGACTATTTTCCCCCTTAAACATAAACAATATTTTTTAATTTATCATGTTTAATTATATAGTACATGTATTTGATGGTTAAATAATGAACATTTTTAAGTGCGAAACAACGTTGAGAAAAATATAAAGTTGAATATCTCTATCTGGAGTTGATATTTTTTGGAAGCTCAAATGTGTCGTTGTAAATGATGATAAGATTGATGATAGATTATATTTTACTTACAACGATGTGAAGGTATATTGAAGTGATAATTTTGCAATAAAAGGGGTTTAATTATTTATGGTGTTGCATCTATAGAGATTGGAATGACATTTTTATTATTGTAATATTATAAAGCTTTTGTTTGTTTTACATGCTTTTGATTTTCAAGTGGGATGACACAAGCAATCATTTGGCAAATAGGATTGCAACAAATAAAAAGGTTCTTTTTTTCTTCCATAATGATGATAATTTTAGTGTTAAAAGAAAACGATGAAAATGTTGGTTTTTTTTTAAGTATGAAGTAGTTTCCATCCTGTATTTTCAATTATGATGTAACAACATTGTTCATGAACATTTTATGTAAGGATGAATTTTTCTGTTGATTAACGTTAAATCAATGTTGTAAACACTATTAGGTGTGTTTTGCTGGGAATATATTGCTTCAGTGTCACCCAAAATGTATATGTAGATAGAGCTGCATTTTTATGCACCTGTCCTAAGTCAGGAACCTGTCAGTGTTCAGTTGCTGTCGTTTGTTTGTGTGGTTCATAAATGTTTCTCGTTTCTCGTTTTTTATATAGATTAGACCGTCGGTTTTCCTGTTTGAATTGTTTTACACTAGTCATGTTGGGGCCCTTTATAGTTTGCTGTTCGGTGTGAGCCAAGGCTCCATGTTGAAGGCCGTACTTTGAACTATAATTGTTAACTTTATAATACATTGTGACTTGGATGGAGAGTTGTCTCATTGGCACTCATACCACATCTTCTTATTTATAAAGAGTATTTATCTTCTCATTGTTTGTCTGCTGTCAAAATGTTTTTAGATGATGAGAACTTGTTTTTTATAGTACATTAATCAACTTGTTAGTGAAATTGGTAGCTATCTTACTCGAATTTCGCAATACTAGATTGCTCCACAACTATAAGAACCCCATGATTTAACATGATATTTACTTCGTGAAAATCATTTAAGATATGCAATCACATCGGGTCTAGTGAAGTAGGAACTTCGTATCCTTCCTGAGCACACTAAATTGTTTAACAGAGGTATATGTTGCTTTTGCCCACATGTTCTGTGTTGTATTTCTAGTACAGTTTTGATGCCTGTGCTAGATTTCTGTATGTAATGATCTTGTCTATCGTCTGTCTTCAAAATAGATTTTCATTTCAAACATCACATTCGATTACTAGTATGTAGAGAAATTACATCTATCATTATGCTTTAAAACTTGTGCAATACTAGTATGAGTAAAAGGAAACGTGGGATATCTTTAATGGGACAATAGACAAACGACAAAAAATAACCAAAAAACATCTAGAAGGCATGATACAGTCTTGAACAATTCATTCTATTCTATTTGTCCTTTTGTACAGGACATTACAGATATTCATGTAAAAGTGTGTCGTCATAAGAGAAAATGTCTGACTCCACAAAAGAAAACTGACTGTTGTATGACGTCAATAGTTTAAGTGTCACAAATTATCGGGTCAAGTGTCGAATTTCCAAATAGAGAAAAGGTATATAGACAGATGTATAAACAAGTTTTAAACCGAAAAGAAACAATCAGTTTAATCCACCATTTTCTACATAAGGAAATGCCTGTACCAAGTCAGGAATATGACAGTCGTTTTCCATTCGTTAGATGTGTTTGAGCTTTTGATTTTGCCAGTTTATAAAGGACTTTCCGTTTTGAATTTCCCTTGGAGTTCGGTATTTTTGTTATTTTAACTTTTTCAGTAACTCTGAAATAACGGTAAAATACATGATAAAAACAAAACACGATCTACAAATTTTACCACAATAAAGAATGGTCGCAGTAACTGAAAGCAAGCTCAGAGTACTTACATTTGTACAAGTAACATAATGATATGAAATCATGTCGTCCAAAACTTAATGTCTTTGATTAGACAAGAGACATTTCTCAACACCCTACTGTATTACTAATTTGCGCATTTCAACAGGAGAAACAGTAAACATGTCACTAGTGGAGCACAAACTGTTGAGAAGTACAGAGCAACTGCATGAGTTCTTCCCCGTTTTGAATTGAACTTTGTGTTGGTTAGCATATAATTGTATAGCGCAATCTGATTGAAATATAGCACCTGTGTCCACGCTTTGCCTTATTAGTGAAGATTGGACACTGGTTATGTATTTTGAACAGGTTGTGTGTAGTGTTTTGTGGCTCGTTGTTCGTCCATGATTTTGTCTGTCTTTCTACGACTAACGTGTTATTATTGTCCCTTTGGTCTTTTCCTTCTCTGTAAGTGTCGAATTTGTGAAGTTTCATATCTTCAATCATGTCAACGTATACTGAAGTAGTGAAATGAATGAAAAGGTATGCTGTTTTTTAACCATTCAAAAATTTATTCAAGGCAATGCTTCCTTATGAAAAAAATAATACGAAGGAGGTCATTATTTTAATATGACAAGATGCGAATGAAGCAAAATAATCATAATAAATTGGTCTAATTCATCAGTGACACACTTGCATAGAAATATAAAAAAAATAAAGACATGTGATATGATTGACAATGAAACAACTGTTCAAATTACATGAATGTAAGCAAATGTACTAAATAGGTCACCTTACGACCTCAACAATGAGCAAACTCAAAACCGTATAGTAAGCTATAAAAAGCATCGGCATGAAAAATGTCCATTGGAAAAATATTTTTGTTTTTAAATCACTAAATTAGAAATATAACAGTTACAATAGGAAGACAATTTGGTTACAGTTAATTGTACCGAGATATAAATTGTATTTACACACAATAGTGATTTCTGATTTTTGTTCTCTATACTGTAGGAAGATTTATTCAACTTTTTTTTCTTTCGGGGATGTGATTCCATTATCCTTTCTGGTCTTAACATCTAACTATCGGACGAATGTCGCATAAGGAACATAAAAAGCTCACCTTCCCTTTTCAGAGTACATATCTTTTAATGTATTTTATTTTAAGTTTGCAGTTGTTTCTTCTTCTAGACTTTAGGTTTTACACGTACTTTAGTACTGGTCACATAATTCCATTTCATGTTGTTTGATGGTAAATGTGATCTTGCTACTTCATCAACTGATTCACAACTGCACATCATATTATCAAAATTGACATAATAAGACATTTAGATAGTGTTGGCGTTCCATACTCTTCACTGCAGACATGACCATGCTTTACTCATATGCCATTACTCATATGCTTAATTTGCATGAAATATTTGCCACTGGACATTATACAAGCAACAATCAGTCATAGGCTTTTATGTGATAATTATTTTTACTGGGTGTAATAGATATGAGCATATAAGATAAGCGTCAATGGCCAATATAAATATATACCTTTTTCCAAAAATATATTTTCCATGGTGTCTATAATCTTTATAAAATAATATTAGTTTGTATATGACTTCAGAATTATTTTCATATCTGTATTCATTTATGTATTTTTCACATGTAAGAAAGAAGAAGTATACTTTTTTGTTTATCAAAAACAAACATGAAGTCCAAAACAACTATTTACAAAATCCATGTCTATGTCACCGAGTCCCAAGCTTAAGTATTTACTATCTCATGAAATACTTGACGTTTTAATTCAGAAAATGTTTTTAAAGATTTGATGATTAAATTATATATTCAATGAATATTGTTCTTTTGCTAGTCAAGATTTAGAAAGTCAGTATCCGTAGTCTCCCAACACTGCTGTGACAATCTGCTTACTCCATATCTTAAAACTGACTTGAATTCATATTTCTTGTTGGCATTCTTTACCACTATATTAGCTACTGTTTTGTCTTGTCCTTCCCTGTGAGTGTCGAATTTGTGAAGTTTCATGTTTGCCAACGGCCCTGTAATGTATTTTTAAAAATGAGGTTAAAATATATTCATCCTGTGTTCACTATTGCAGTATTTACTGCATATATGGCTAAAGAACTGAAACTCATCATAGATACCAGGATTAAAATTGTGTACGACTCATCAGTGACGATCTAATCAAGTAAGTTAAAAAGGCAAAATATAGTACGAAGTTGGAGCGCATTGAGGACCTAAAATTCTGAATGTAGGGGTATTGTTATTTTATGAAAATCTACATATGTGTGTTGTGTTACAAGATTGATTGATTAATTTGAACTTATGGGAAATACCAGATTTTTAAACGTACATTTGTGCTGAAGACAGATTTAATATGCTTTCTGTGACATATTCTACAGGGGCACTCTCTATTGATGAGGACTGTATGTTGACACTCAAATGTCATTTGGTTATTTTGTGTTGACGTATATCCACCGTTTTGTTCGTATTTCACTAGGTAGATACCGCTGCTAGTGGACTCCTAGTTCCCGAAGGTATCATCAGCTCAGAAGTCTTTGTTCCCTTTTGAATAATGTCCATCTTTTCACCTCAAACAAGTAACCACTATAGTAACTCTCAGTTTTGCATGATAAATGGGTATGAATTCAATTATCCAAAGGAGTATTTCTTAATTATACCAGTTCCGTATTATATTTAAACCAGCGGTTATACATGTACATGTATGCTACTAATATATGTAGAACGGCCGCAAAAGCAGTATTCATTTTTTTGTACACAAACGAAGTACTGTATTTTGCATATACAATGCGACCGGTACACGAGCTTGATATCGTCTTGCACGTGTGCTTTTAAATTTACTTTATAGATATACACAATACAAATAAATAAACTTATGAACTTGCACGATATACGCTTACCTAGAATACCGCTGTAATCAGTGTTAGGAGTTGAAGCATCAATATAGAATTGTAGTCCACGCAGCGACCCGTCAGATCGGCATGCTTTAATCTTCATTTGCTTAGAGGGGAAAGGTAAGTCACAAATTTCTCCGTCGTTCCACTGTCGAAAGGTAAGATCCTCTAGAATCATGTCTGGATACATTGTAACTTGGTGATCAGGAATATAGGCTGCATTGATATAGTCAGCACTATACACCTCTTTTTTGACAGTACTTTCGCATAAGCTAGTCTTTATTCCCAATGATTCATCTGCGAAAAACAAAAGGTAGAAATCAATACTGATTCTACTCTATAATCTACTCTATAACAAACTTCAAGATTTGTTTGGAAATACTGAAACGGAGCGAAATGATCAATACAAACTGAATGGAAAAATCGTAATGATGGAAAACTTGAAAATTTAACGACAAATACGATATGAAATGACATTAGAAGAGAATTTATTGCAACGTAGCAGGATATTTTGTGAAAATTAGTCTTAATCTAATCTAAACCGCAAAATAATAATGTCTGCTCTTTTTGAAATGACTTTTAAGTTAAAATGTATTATATTTCTGTTCATTGTAATTAGTCATACAATTTTTGCATCTTCACTGCCCCTTTTGTAGAAATATACGATAAGATAGAATAATTATTCGTCAAATTTTGGTTGGTATCATCCCGCGTAGATTGCCAAATGAATTTGCATGCTAGCTCAATTTGAATTTAATTTACTCTGCATAATGTTCTGATAGTGCAGTTAAACAATATCACTACCGTCAGATATGCATTTGTATGTATATTATTTTTAAAACTTACTTCTAACCAAAATTCAAACTTTGAAGGAGACGTGCAACCGGAAGTGACGGTCATCGAGATTATTAATTGATTCCAGCAGTTAATGACTTATGCAGCAAACAGCACTTATGGACACTGGTTAATTTAATTGCATTTTTTTTCAATTTGGAAGGTTGATAAATCGGTAAACGGACAGAAAGTCACAGGACATAAAGTCACAAATTTGATGGGACAAAAAGTCACAAATAATGTGTTGACAATTGTTCGAATATATAAGAGAAAGAACTTGAAAAATTTCATTTTATTACATATACCCATTTTTAAGTTTAGGAAATTATTCATAAACCTTGATAAATGAAAATTTATTAAATGTTAATCATGCTAAGGATATATTTCTTGGCACCATGAATTCATATTAGTACCAAGCCACTTTGACATTTTGTTTTCATAACAATTATTTGATCATTATTGATATTTATTGAATAAATTTTAATAACAAAGTTGCTTTATATATATTGTTCAAGAAAAAAACAAAAACAAAAAATTTTAAATTAGAGTTTTCTTGTTCAATCAAAAATAATCTCTAAACTGAATTGTGACTTTTTATCCTGTGACTTTTTGTCTGTGACTTTTTGTCCTGTGACTTTCTGTCCTACATTCGATAAATCTTGACATTCATAAACAAACATTACGTCTTTCCAAAGATTTTGTTTTAATCATTGAAAGTTGTAACACTAATATGAAGGATGCATGAGCAATATCATATTAATATGTACACGTTTATATAAAGAATACAAATACCTGTGATGATAATATACATGTACCTACCGCCATGTTTGATCAAAATCTTTTGTTTGTGTTTTGGAACTTTCAAATGCATACACAGTGGGTCTTCAAGTCCCTCGATTTTGATGTAAACTGAAGGAACAGAGTTTCCTACAAAAAATAAAAGAATCATATTAATAACAATTCCTTGACAATATCAAATTTTGCTGATTTGAACATGATTTTTTTTTAACTTGGTGTTATCAATTTTTTTTTTTATTAATAACAGGTAATTTTTCAACTCGATGATCAATCATATATATATATATATATATATATATAAATAGCCTGATAACCACACACAATTATCACAGCTAAAAGTTCCCAGTTCGAGAAGAAAAATAGATAAAGTCGTTTGGAAAAGGCTAATAGCTAATAACAGGTAAAAAAAATAGTTTTGAAAATTATTTTCATTTACCTGTGTACGTTATTTTATTATTTGGCGGCATTTTGTAGAGGTTATGGTTGTCTTTCTGATATTTTTTTTACATCTAACCCCCTTGTTTTATTAATTTTGTATTTACATTGTGTCATAGATCAAATTTATTCGACCAGTCTGAATTGCTCTGAATTTTACTTAAAATTACTCGACCCAGTCTTAACCACACTCGGCTGTACTGATTTTTACTTGACCCTTATCTTTGCTATTGAAAATAGTCTCAACTATTACTCGACCAGTCTGAAACAGTCTTAACCCATTCTCGACCTGTACTCGACCAATACTTGACCAACTCTCGACCTATTTTTTCAGTCTGAACCGTACTCGACCAAAGGTCTGAACAATACTCGACCAGTCTGAACCATAATTGACCAAATAACCTCTACTTTTTATAATTTTGATGGTTAAAATAACGTTTTTAACTGACATGACAACAGGGCCACAATAAAATAAAGATATATATAAAAACAGATTTTTACATCCTTGCATGATTCTCTCAGATTTATCAAATCGAGATATCGCCGCGATATAGCCTTGTTGTGCTAATGCGGCGTAAAGCAACCAACAATCAATCAATCAATCAAATCGAGATAGTTAAATTATCTAATTTTAAAATCCGAGTCTTGTTAAATAAAAAGACTTTCTTTTACCTGAAAACCACACCTATACTGAGGGTAATAAAACCTTATTAAGGTTCTTTTTGTTTGGCATGTGTTGGGTTTTTTTAAACAAAACTTGATTTTCCTAAATTCCTAAATAAAAACTACTTAGGTTTCATGATTACATACAATAATGAGGTAACAACAACCAACAAAGTCACTGACATTGTTTAACCTTATATCAGAAATATATCTATTCCTATTTATAATTTGGGATATATATATATTTTAAAAAGGAATAAAAAATTAAAGAAATGATTTGGGGTAAACTATAAAGTAATACATCCTGCTTGGGGCACACTGACTGATTAAAAAGATCACACCTGGTCAGAGAGTAATAAATTTTAAATAACATCCATTGAAAATTACAATATCCTGTAAAACTTAAATAACAAGGCCTTTTGAATTCACTAGATAATTAATTCACGAGTTTAAGAAAAGTAGGGTTTTCTTTTTACCTGTAAAACACACCTGTACTATGATAATTAAACCTTATTACAGTGCTTCTTGTATGCCATGTCTTTAATTTTGACAAAACGTATTTAAATTTAATTAAAATAAATTTCTACTGCAACTTTGGAATGCATTTCCTTTTTTAAAAGGTTATCAAGGATTGCTATGAAAGTTTTATTATTATTATTAATATTAAATTCTTGGTTTTACAAAACAAAGGTGTCAATTTTAGCATTTATTACTATTTTATATATATTTTGATAAACAAAAATAAGAATAACATTTAAGATATTTGAATAATGGTTGAAAGTTCTAGCATTTTTGATGTACATAAAGCAATGTGAACATGATATCATGTATATACAAATTCATTTAACGAAAACTTAATTTATTACATGATATTTTTTTAATCCAACCAGAAATTTGATTACCTTGTTTTATTTTAATTTTAAATGTGATATACATTGTATATATATATATATATATATATATATATATACACACAAATTTCTTGGTAGAGTGGTCTAAATACAGCACAAACAACATTTTCCAAAAGACCAAATGAGTGAAAAAGTATATTTTAACAAAACGCATTTGACTAGCAGGTCGAACAACAGTTTACTGATGTTCTTAAACCCTGCTGACTGCCATTGGCGATTGCCAAATAAACGGATCACAAGATGTAACAAAATAGATCTTATTTTTAATTAATTACCAAACAGAAAACAATAAACTTGCGGAAAAGATGGTATACCGCAAACATGAGGTGCAAAAATTTGTACACCATATCCGGATTTCGACAATTAATGTCTCTTCAGTGATGTTAGGAATCGAAATATATATATATATGTATAACAGTTCCTAAATTGATGAAATACAATAGATAGATACAAAAAAATAGGTCAAGGTTGGTTAAGACTTGGTCGAGTATGGGTTAGACTAGGTCGATCATGATTCTGACTTGGTCGAGAATAGTTAAGACTATGTCGAGTATGGTTCAGACTCGTATAAAATGGTTGAGTACTGGTCGAGTAAAGGTCGAGTACAAGTTCAGACTGTTAAGTATGGTTCAGACTACAGTCGAGTAATATCAAGTAAATTTCAGACCAATTCAGACTGGTCGAGTAAAAATCAGTACAGTCGAGTACAGATATAGGCCATTTCAGACTTTTACTGGTTTGTAGTGCTTTTTTTTTTGTTAATATGTCTTTTGATTGAGTTAAGCCATTTCAATTGATATTTTATAGTGTGTATTTCTATGTTGTGATGTTACACTATTGTTTCAGGTACTAGGGTTAAGGTTGGCGCCTATTAAAACGTTTAAACCCGCTGCATTTGTTTGCACCTGTCCTAAGTCAGGAACCTGATGTTCTGCGGTTGTCGTATGTTGATGTGGTTCATAAGTGTTTCTCGGTTTTCCTGTTTGAATGGTTTTACACTAGTCATTTTTGGGGCCAGTTATAGATTGCTGTTCGGTGTGAGCCAAGGCTCCGTGTTGAAGGCCGTACTTTTACCTATAATGGTTTACTTTTACAAATTGTGATTTGGATGGAGAGTTGTCTCATTGGCACTCATACCACATCTTCTTACATCTGTTGAGCACATTAATAAAACTAACTTACTTTTGTCCATACAAACAACATTAGGTTCTGTTGACTTTTGTGATTTCAATGGCCACTCAACAAACACTAAGCCTTTCTTATTAAAGACGTCAGACCACGAAGAAGATCCAATTGATGGATGAGAGTTGTCAGCGTTGTAATGGTAGTTTGTTGGGTTGCCCTTCTTTGCATAGAATGGGTCAACAAATTGATCAGAGTTATGATTTATGTACTGAGCGTAGTCAGATCTGTACGGGTTACTAGATGGTGGTGAGCCGCCGTTTCCCATATATGGTGTTGGTATATGAGAGTTTCCCTTTTTCCCATAAAACGGATCAACAAAATCATTTATTGCATTATCTATGTATGTGTTGCTTGGGCTTCCCATTTGAACATCATTGCTCCAGTTATCGCTATAGCTGTCGTCGGTTACATATGACACACCAGGAAGAAGTTTATGTTGGCTGTTACTTGGCGTTGCGGCAGCATGTATTGGTTTATATGGATCCACGTGTGTGGGTACTTTATTATTAGAATTGCTGTAAAATGGGTCGACGAAGTCATGACCGCCTGGAATGTAAAAAGAAGGAAGAAATGTAATGCAATATTTTTAAAAAATCGGCAAGAAACATTAAATCACATGATTACATAATATTTTTGTTTTAAATGACAAGACAAATTGTTTAACGAAATGAAGTAGTTCAGATAAAAGAAGAAATCTCCAGAAAAATACAACATATTAAGGTTTAAACTGGATTTTCAAGCAACTGGTATTCGAAACGAATGTAGGACAGAAAGTCACAGGACAAAAAGTCACAGACAAAAAGTCACAGGACAAAAAGTCACAATTCAGTTTTGAGATTATTTTTCTATGAATAAGAGAACACTTATTTAAAAAAAAAAAAAACATTTTTGTATTTTTCTTGAACTATTACATATAGATCAACTTTGTAATTGAAATTTATTTAATAAATATCAATAAAGATCAAATAATTGTTAAGAAAACAAAATGTCAAAGTGGCTTGGTACTTAAACGGCTTCATGGTGTCAAGAAATGTATCATTTGCATGATTAAAATTTAATAAATCTTCATTTACCAAGGCTAATGAACAATTTCCTAAACTGTAAAATGAATATATGTAATAAAAAATAAATATTTCAAGATCTTTCTCTTATATATTCGAACAATTGTCAACAAATTATTTGTGACTTTTTGTCCTGTGACTTTTTGTCCTATCAAATTTGTGACTTTCTGTCATGTGACTTTTTGTTTTTTGTTTTGCGACAATTTTTAGATATACTAGTATCGAAAGAATACTGAGTGTGCTACATAAATACAATATAAAGTCTCACCTGTTTTGGCAGCTGACCCGTGCACATTGATTTTCTTCCTGTCACCAGAAGATCCGTCAGCTGTTACGTAAGATACCCCTGGGAGTAAGTTGTTGCCGGTACCATCTTTTACTGGCACATTATGGCCTGACTTACCGTAAAATGGATCGACAAAACCCGGCGTGTCTGAAAATAGTATATACAAACAACTTGTGCGTTAAGTTTGAATTTACTAGAATTATACAATTAATAACAATAAAAAGTTTAAAGGGGCATAAGCTACGAAATATACCAAAAAATTAAAATATGATTTTTTTTGTTCAATCATTAATGAAATTGAAATAGTGAAATTTAGAGATAACTGTATTGTATTTTAAGCTTTACGGACGTCCATCGGTAGTTTTACTGCCGAAAATTTAGTTTACCTAGCGACGCGTAGCGGAGGCTTTGCGGACGTCCATCGGTTTTAGTTTTACTGTCGCAAATTTAGTTTACCTGGCGACGCGTAGCGGAGACAAGTGAACGGATATTTGCGACAGCAAAGCTTAAAATACAATACAGTTATCTCTATTTTAATACAGTGGCGGTATTCAAACAATATTGAATTGCATGGAAAAGTGC